GAGGAAGGGCAAAGCCAGTGAGGGGGTAAGGGCAGAGCAGCAGGGCCAGCCTGCTTCATGGGTGGGGATGGCAGGTGGGGGTGTCCCCACTGGGCAGGGCAGGGCCCCAGACTGAGCATGTTCAGTCCATCTCCAGAAGCAGTGTCAGAGGAGATGTGTCTGCCACCTTTACCCTCCCGTCGGTAGCGGCACAGTGACCAAAGCGAGGACAGGGATCCCACCTGCCACCCAGCAACCTGGTGGGAGACACACCCCCTGCTCAGCTGATGCGCGCCAGGAGGTCCCGGAGGGAGCACACCCGCCAGCAAGCCATGCGGGGGCCCTGCTGGGACAGGCTCTCCCGGGGAGGGGGTTTGCTCTGGGGGGACCCGTGGCTTTCGCCCAGCACCTCCGCCCACCCTCAGGGGCTTGATGTCATCATGAAAACATATGGGCCCAGCGGCCCCAAGAGCCTGGTCTGGCTTCAGGAAAGGGACCGCTCACCTCTCCGACCGAGTTGGACAGCGCCTGAACAATCTTCTCGTGCGCCGTGGCCACCACGCTCTGCCCGTTGATCTCGATGATGCGGTGGCCCACACGGACGCCACCCCGCTCTGCGATGCCCCCTCGCATGAGGCTGCAGATCTAGGGGACACGGGTGTCAGGTCAGCACAGAGCTCCCACCACCCTGCCAACACTCCTCCTGCCCCCAGAGACCGGGAGGAGAGTGAACCGGTGGGGGGAAAAGCCCCACAGGACGAGCACTGCTACCTGCCGTCCGCTGACTCAGCAATGGGGAGGTTTATGATTTGGAAAATGTTCGAAAATGCTTGGGGAGACCCATCTGGGCCCTCAGGTCCCCACCCGCTGGCCAGGAATCTGGCCCCAGCCATCGCAGGGCCTCTGTTCCTGGGTCAGGCAGTGTGGAGGGCTGGGGGTATACACAGGTCAGGCCCATTCTGGAAGGTTCTCCACCAGCCACACTGCTCCTCTCTCAGGTGACAGTCATGATTCTCTCCACATAGGGAGGGGTGATTTCATGAGCTGATGAATGGAAAGAGTTTGGGGAAACAATGGTGCAGCCCCTAAGCGTGAGATCCCCCGTTGGTGAATTCACTAAAGATCAGGTATCGGAAAGGGGCAGTCTGTGCAGAGATCAGGGAGGGAAGAGCAGCCTCCCATTCTGTGGGCCCTCTGCACCTGGGAGCCACAGGAGGTGTGGGAGTGAGGGCACCGCAGCAGGAGGAGCACTGACATCCCAGAGGCAGGGTGGCAGGAGGGCGCAGGAAGGGCTGGGTTTACTAATCCCCCCGTCGCCTCCCCAGCACAAGGGCAGAGGCAGGCCCAGGTCAAACAGCCATGTCCCTGGGGCTGTGCCTTCCTGAGAACAACCTCGAAGCCGCTGGTGGTCTTTCCCATGCACCCCAGCCGTGGCACTCAGCCCTGGGCACCTGGACCCGTGTCCCTGAGCCCCCTGGAGCCCCTGACGTCCCAGCCACCTGCCCTAAGGCTGCACCGCATCAGCTGTGTCTGAGGGTGAGGGAGGCCAAGCCCGAGGTCGGGCAGGAGGAGAAGCCCAGGCTGGGGGACCCGGTCCCCCGAGCGCCCAGACCCTCCCTGTAACGTCATCCGGCAGCCTCGAACCTGTAAGGCCTTGGTCCTCACGGTTTCCTCCATCTGAAAAATGCTACCGGTACAACTCTCACCTCGTGAGCTTTTTAGGACTTTTTAGGGGTCCTCATATAACTCTGAGCAGCATCCTACAAGATCAGGGGTCAGCCTGCCCACAGGAGGCGTATCTGCAGGTGGGACGTCCAGCCCTTCCCGACTCACTGTTCCTTTTTCCTTTCATCCCGCCCGAGGACTCTCCTCTGCATCCTGTGCTGAACGCACCCGCCCTCACCTGGGGCTCCCACCTGTGTCACCGCCAGCTCCCATCCAACCCCCGGCCAAGGCCACCTCTCCCACCCAGAGATGGACGGCTCCACCCTGCCCCCTGCTCTCTCACTGCACTGGCCTGGTATCCTTTTCAGGCTGAGGCAAGCCAAAAGGCCACTGACCGCAGGCTGGCCCTGCACCACCACAGGACTCCCATGGGTCCTCTGGTTTATGAGTTTGGCCTCGTCACAGACGCTACGCTGCAGGTCTTTCCAGACCTACTTTCTGAGTGTGTGAAAGTCCCAGTGCGGGCCCGAAGTCCTCGGGGTCCCCCCAGCCCTCGGGTCCCTCTCTGTCTGGAAGGAGATAGGGTGCAAGCTGACGTCACAGCCCAAGGTCACTGCTGCCCGGCCACCTGGACTCCTGCACAGAGTGGGTCACAGTCCTGGATCTCAGGCTCTCGGGCCAGACAGGACACGGCCAGTGTGGCTGAGATAGAGAAGCGGGCTGCCCGTGGCACCCACTGTCCAGAAAGGGAGCATCTGTTCTGTCTGGTGAAGGCTCTGCTCACCTGATGCCCAGACACCCCACCCGGCGCTAAGGAGGAACTTCTACTCTCCCTGCACGGCCCCCAGGGGACTGATTTAAGGGCACCTTGTGCCCAGTATACCTGGCTCTTTGAGGATCCTAAAGAGGGTGCTTCAGGGTGATCTGGCCCACTTCCTGGCCAGGCCCAGTGTCAGGCAGGACCCCCTTGCTCCTGACAGAAGCTGGGACATGGAGCAGGTGTGTCTCCGGTAAATCCCTAGGGGCACTTTCCTCCCTCACGGTGGGAGTTCCAGGGGAGAAGGGAAAGCGGGAACAGGGGCAGGAAGGGAGAAAGTGGGGGCTGCAGAGGATGGACCCAGACCCTGGCGGGGGACCTGAGCTGGAATCTAGGGGGCAGGCTGGCAGAGGGGATAGATGGGGAGCAGGAGGGGCTGGGAGAGGGCCGCGTGCACACGCACACAGACACACAAACACGGATGGCAGGCCTTCCTCAATGAGGCGCACCCACAGAACTCGGGGCCACAGGCCCCACTTCTAGGAGGGAGGCTGGGGTCTCCCAGCAGTGGACTTTGTGACTCCCTGAATGATGCCATGAGAGAGACAGGGGGTACTTGTTTAGAAGGGAGTGTTAAGTGGGCCATCCTGGGCCTATCTGCAAACTAACGCATTGTGCTTTGGCTGTAATGACACTGAAAACAGAAAAAGTGCTCATGCAGAACTCAGATGTTGGCAGACGTTTCCAGGGACTCTGGGGTTACCCACGCGGCCAGCCCTTCCCCCAACCCGCCTGCCTGCAGCCCAGGAACGGGGGGTCACTGGCCAGGACCTGCCCCATCCAACAAGGGGTGGTTCCAGGTTTGGGGACGGACAGCTGCCATCCCTGTTCCCTGCACCAAGCCACACGTGAGCTCGGCAGAGGCTGCCCAGGGCCGAGCGCGGACTCACAATTCCGTTCTGCACGCTGAAGCCCAGCTGGTACTTGAGGTCCGGCCGCTTGATGAGGACGGTGGTGACGGGCGGACAGCTGACAATGTTGAGCTTCACCTGCGTCTGGTTCTTCAGCCCCTGCAGAGCACAGAACAGGAGTCACAGGTGGGTCTCAGACGACCTCACAGGCTCGGATTGCAGGGGGACTGAACCCAGGCAGGCCCCTCTGTGCATGGGTACGTGCATCTCCCCGACCGGGTGCAGGGGTGCTGGGCATCCCAGGTGGCCGCAGCTCACCGCGCTCTGGTGCGCCCTTAGACCTGGGCAAAACCACGCTGCCCCGGGGGCCAGACGCCAGGCCCCAAAGGCCACTGTGCACAACTGACGGGCCAGCACTCAGGGCCCTCGCCACACTGCGAGCAAGAGGACTTCCTGTTTGGAAGGACTGTGGGGTCACCTTCCTCAAAACAAGCATCCTCCCGTGATGGTCTCGTGCGCTGCTGGCGGGGCGAGGACCGGGAGCCGCCGGCTCAGCGGGTCTGCCAACAGGGGCTCTGGTGTCTGCACCGAGACAGGCCACCTGGAGCCAAGGGCGACCCTGGACCCCAGAGGACAGCGGATGCTGCAGGCCACGGTTCTGGGGTCGGGTGGGACGAGAAGAGCGGCCTAAACCGAACGACGCTGCGGCTACCACAAAGCTCCTCTGCTCAGGCGCGCCCGCAGATGCGCATGCGCACAAACGTGCACGGCCACGCATGCGCGCACAGCCCATCAGCGTCCGAGTGACGACTGAGAGCTGCCTCCCTCAGAGGGAGGGGCCTGGCCGGCTAAGCCTCTGGCACCTCTGATTGAGGCTTCTTTCATGTCTGTCTGTCTAGCTAAACGGTACCCCTGGGTCACCAGGTCCAGGAGCCAGTTCTTGGGGCCTTCTGGCCTCAGGAGCGCCCTCTGTCAGGTGACAGGGAGGAGGGGGGCGCATCCTCCTTCAGCAAGACCACTGCGGGGGCTGCGGGCGTGGACAAGCCGCGGGACAACTCCCCGCAGGCAGAGGTGTCCGGATACCCCGGAAAGAGCAAAGGCACTGCAGTGCTGAGGCCTCCGGTCACGGCTGCCTGATCCTTCCGCCCGGGACTCTCTCAGACCCGCAGTGGGCCCCGGTCCCACCAGTTTGTGTCCCCTCTGCGTGATCCTCTCTGGGGACAGGCCGCTCAGCACCTCCCAAAGCTGTACGCTCATGGGTAAGCCGGTCAGAGCAGCCGCCCAGCTCAGATCCGTGCAAGGTGACCCTAACCTCCACGTTTGCC